TGTTTCTCCTTTCTTTCCAGCAAGATGCTGATTGGAGGAATGACGTAGACCTGAATTAGCTAGGTATATGTGGGATTTATTTTCTTTCTCATTGAGTTTTCAACATGTGATACAAAATTTATGATGAAGAATCTGTTAAAGCAAAAGCAGAAACAAGCTTCCCCCTCCCAGGTTATACTATTCAAGACCAAAAATAGAAGAAAGAAAAAAAAAAAAAAAAAAAGTTTTCTTTTTCCGGTCAAATGTACTTTGATACTTGAAAATGAATAAATAAGCAAAGACTTGATGGAAATGTGTGGGCCTTTTTATTCTTAAGGATTATTCCAGCATGCATCTACATCATGCATAGCTACTTAATTACAGCAAGGGTTTATGGTACCAATGTCATTAGAGGATCTTCTGCCTATGGTGAAGGTTTCAACAATGCAGCTGGGTGCATTTGGATGTATGCATTTGCTCTTGGATTCAAGTTTGTGTAGGCATTTCTAGTGGAATATGGCTTTCAGGGAGGTGAATGTACTTTATAACAATTTGATTGAAATGGATGCTCAAAAGCAGATTCTGTCAGACCATACTGCACACTGTTGGCTCACAGGAAAAACAATGAAGAATCATTTATTAACTATTTCCTAAAATCCTGGTTCAGGGACTGAATATCCATGCATACAACAAGAGCTGATGTGACACACCGTGTGCTAAGCTAGCTAGGTTGTGTAAGGTTGTGACTATGTGTTTCCAGTCCCTGTATTTCCAATGTGAGTGCACACTGGATTTATTGACATCTGATGCATTTAGCTTTCAGTGTCCCTAAATAGTTTACTACTTCTTCAAAATACTTACAAAGTATGCAACTGGATATGGCTAAAATTCAGGATGTGTTCCTCTGTGGAAGCACACTATGTAAAATCTACCTGGGTTGAACATACAGGCATGAAGCCGAGATCCTTGTACTACAGGATTAACAACGACATGATTGTAATTATAATAAATTCAAATTCTTTGCGGCCCATTTACCAAATGGGACCAGAAATCCACTTGGACTATGAAGATAGTTGTTTAATTCGACAAGAAATACAAACAGCGTCACTATTTACTTCTCAAGCAACTGAGGATACCAGACCTTCTCGCTTAGACAAAAACCTGTTGCTTGTTTTGATGCTTAATTTGGTGGAATTATTCAGCACTGACACAAGATTAGCTGAAACCAGAACACGGTCCAAGATACAAAGATATGTTCTTTTTTATGGCTGTCTGTTCTAATATTGAAAGGCAAAAAAACCAAAACATTATGTTGACTACTGGGAGAAAACATGAACGTTGCTTGGAATTCATGGCTGGAGGAAAGGAATTCTTGAAGTAAAAAAAAATAATTGTAATGGTGAGTTCTATTTTCTTAGTACTACTGCAGCTGCTTACATATTTTTGACAAAACCCCCAGTCATTTTAAACATAACGAGGAGTTTATATCAAGAAAATTCAGTAAAAACAAAAACTGAGTGACAGTTCTCCCATAGTCGGACGCGTTTCGAGCTGTTCAGTCTGAAATGGGCTCCGCAGCATGCAGGCAGCTCAGAGGGGAACAAGGCGTGTGATGGAGGATTGGATGAGACTGCTGAGGAATGACTGAACATACAAGCTGATATCAAATGGAAGTTTACAATTGCTAGAGCATTTGACTGCTGCAGAAGATCATTAGGAATTTGCTACGTTTCCAAGTTTTTGTCAGCCCAAAGGCAAAGGCTAATGCGTGTAATAATCATAATCACCAGGAAGGCTTTTAGAGAGAAAGCAAATTTTTAGGGGAATGAAGGGCTCATTACAGCACTGTGAATTACACAAACTATTATTTTTTAAAGCAAGGCTTGCCATCTCTGATGGCTACACTGTATTAATTAAGCATGAGTTCCCTGGTAGTGAGATCTTCTGTTGTGTTCCTGTCATAGCTTGCAGCTAACTTCAGTAGTGGGAATTTTTAATTAGGAGTGCACAGTGGTAACAATATATAATTAATCTTTGGATTTAAACATATCCCTAAGGCTTGTAAAGTTAAATACACGCTTAAATCATTTGCAGAATTATGACCACAGCGTTTATAAAATGGATCTGGATCCAGATTTTCCTCATAGAAAATGATCACTAAGAGGGCCTGAACCTAAGCACGTGGCCATGTATATCAGAAGAAAATTAATCTTCTCCAAAGTAAAAAACCAAATTAATGTGTTGTTTTAGTCTTTTTCTTTTTTTGCTTTTGAAAGCCAAAGTCCCTGAGTTACAGGTGTGTAATAGACAACATGGGAGGCTTCTAACCACTGTCACATTTGCTCATAATCTGATCATGGATTATTCATAGGCAATTTGTGGGGAGCCAGGGGTCAAATTTCAACCTAATCATTTGAATCCGGAGCATCTAAAGATTCTGCTGCAGCAAAATGTTTTGTTATGTGCCTCGTTCTTCTCTGCTGAGCACATAATCACTGCAAACATTGTGTGCGATTTCAATTTCTTGTTCTTGCCAGGAAAAGCAAAGGATTGTTTCAGCATCTTTCACCTCCACCTGGGCAAGGTCTGACGGTGTAAATTAAATGACAGGGGAAGGTTTAAATTCTTCACAGCTGGGCATGAAGGTGGATCCAGTGAAAAGCACTTTCCTGGTTGCTTGGGCTCAGTCAAGGTGATGGAAGCCTTGTCTACAAGGCTGTTCCAACAAGTGGAAGATAGACACCAGAGCAAATTTCAGTTACTACTATAGTTTTTCTGTGCTCTCACCTTCAGAAATGGGCTGAGCACAATTCCTTAACCACAGCTCATCAGTCTTGTGAACTAAGTACTTAAATATGCCATGAAATAACGGTCTGGATTAAGAGATTGGTTTGATGGGATGAATTGAATGGGAAATTGAACTGTGCTTTCTTATTTTTTTCATTATAGAGACAGTGATTCTGTTGAAGCCTCTAGCGTTCAGCCAGATACTGCTGGAAAGAGAACTTTACTACAAAGTTCTACTTGTTTGCCTTTTTCTCCATGCAAATAATGCCTGTGATTTCAAGATGAGAATGGGGAAACATTCCCATTTCACTTGGCAGGTTTGAACAGAAAAGCAGTATTCGTAAAACAGCCTATCAGCATGAGGAGATAAGGCTCAAACAAACAGCCATGAGCATGCATTTCATTTGGGGTTTATCAGCCTACTGGGAAAGGACTGGAAATATTCGATCTGTATTTTGCATATTTCAGTGACAATAAAATGAGCTTTAAACAGTCAGTAATATGGAACAGCAAAATAGGACATGGAAAATGTTTATTCAAGGACGACAGGCTAAAATGCTGCAGAGATTTCAATATGGTGACATAACCATTCTATGAGCTGTCCTTGTCCTTTTCTCCTCCCTTTCCAGAGATGCATGCACAAATAAAACGTATGCCTGGCGTATATCTGCATAGACTTATTCACTGCATTTCTGTGTGACACCTTTGTTGTTGGGTCTGTTTGGATAAACAACACTCCACTTCATAACACATACATAAATGCAAGATCGATTTACACGCACCCATTTATAAAGCTGCAAAAAAATATGAAAAAATAATGGCAGCGAATGAAACAGAAAATATGATGTTTTTCTCTTGGTTTTAGTTGCTAACCATACACATAGGAAAAAAATCTCAGTAAAACTCAGTCACCATATTGATCAAGAATGATAAGGATGTTTCATCATCTCATCAAATCACGGGAGTTTGCGGCATGCTTTGCTCCATACGTGCATGATGTGCAGCAGATACCAAACATGCAGTCAGCAAGTCTTAATCGTAGAATCATAGAATTGCTCAGGTTGGAAAAGACCTTAAAGATCATCAAGTCCAACCACCACCTAACCATTACCCTAACTCTAACAGCTCACTGCTAAACCGTGTCCCTGAGCACCACATCCAAGCTGCTTTTAAACACATTCAGAGATGATGACTCAACCACCTCCCTGGGGAGCATATTCCAGTGCTTAATCAGTATTACCCCTGCATATCTTGGGTGATAATTACATTCAATGTCTGGCGCTTGACCTCCCAGCAGCACACAACATGGGATGTCTTCATGAAAACCACAGGGAAACTACATATGGGAGACAACATATTCACTACGCTTCCTCCTGAGTGCTAATTCAGACATCTGAGGAATGAATTTAATACATTACTTATGTCTAAGGAAAATGCCCGAGCTCATGAAAACTTATATGGAAAATGTCTGTGGTGTTTAGACTGAGAAGCCATGAAAACACCAGAAGTGCTGCCCCACTCACTAGTTATCCAAAATAATTTTGTATACGGCTGCAAGCACTCCATGTAGGAACAGAAACTGCCTCAAATGACCAACCTCAATCCTACAATAAGGCGGAAGAAAAGGACGTGAGCTTTAAAACAAGTTTTAATACAGTTCTAAAACTTGCAATGGAAAACTCTCAGGATTTCTTTTTAATTTTTAACCAGTTCTAAGTGGGGAATTGTTTAGCTTAATTGGAACAGATTCAGTGTTAGCAGAAACATGGACATGAGCATAAGCAAATTCAGGAGATCTAAAATAGAGTTCAGACTACAGGTCCTGAAATCTTTTCACCAAATCTCACTGCTTTCAGTCAACTCTGTGCCTATGGAACATATGAAGCACTAAAATCTGTCCTGTGAGTGTAATAATATTTATGCCTGGTCAGTATGTTAATTTACAGATGACTGACTGATCTGTAAATAATAAGTACTATTATTTAATCCAATATTTATGCTTTTTTTGTTTATTTGTTTGTTTGTTTTGTTTTTTTCTTCCCTTAGCTTTTTACAAAGGATTAAAGGCAGTGTTAAAGTGCACTTTGGTGAACTTTGGATTTAAAAAAATCCTAAATCAACCAAATAGATTGAGTGACTCTTTTAACAGTTAACTCCAATATCTTTTTTACTTTTTATTTTTTCCTATGTGTATATTAGAAATCTCAGCTGATTACTGCTTCATTTGTACTTACAAATAAATGCTGGATTCATTGCCTCCAATGTCAGGTGACTGGAGTTTCTGCACAAGTATCACAATGATGCCAATAAAAAGCACAAAGTTTATCTGGGGGAAAAAGAAAGGACATTACAATGACCATGATTTACTTTTCCAGGCTTCAGATGAGACTTTCTGTCAGCCCTTTCTTGAAACTCCTGACTTGTGTTACTTTCTCTCCACTTGGAATCTGAATCTCTCTCACTGGAATCTGTTCCACAATGAGATGACCTCCAATGTCTTTATTTTTTTTTTTAATGTTTTTCTTCATATCTTTTTTATTGTTTTTTTGTTTGTTTGTTTGTTTTACCTCATCCTGAGCATCTTCTTTCTCATAGGTTCACGTTGTTATAACTATAGTTATAACTTTCAATTCAGGTTTGGTTGCCACCAGTCAGCTTCATAAGGCCAGAAAAAAAACAGGAAACTTAAGGTTTTATGTTGTTTGCTTGAACATCTCTTTTACTATAATTTTCTATCTACTTTTCTATACGAAGATTACAAGTGCTTGGAGATGCCCAGTATTATTAGTTCAGTTACAATTAATGTGTCTGAAAATTACTGTGTTTTAGATAGTTGTCCAAATTGTTAAAAAGAGAAGCACTGCACCTGATGTAGACATCTGTCTGTTTATATTCCCACAACAGTCAACAGAGACCTTGCTGACACTCTCACTGTAGTATGGATAGGAACTTAGAATGCCCAGAAGCAAGTACCAATGTCCAGTATGCTAAGCAACTCATTAGGTGCCATGAACCATATTTATTTGGTGCTCAATTTAATTTGTTATCTGGAGCAGCCAGCCTCCTCCAAGTGCTACTTACCATGATTGACCCAACCACAGGACCCTTGATCACCCACCACAAGGCAGTGTTGTCATTCATGTCCCAGCAGCTGCGGAATGGGGTGGGGAAAGAGAAGGAAATAAACAAGATTAATAAGTAACATGGAAGTAAATAAGCTTGCCAACATTTTTAAGGGGGCAGAGGGTGGGATATTGGCTTTGCAGCTATTCATTTAGTTTCAAAGGTTTCATAGACTGTCGCCGCTGAAGCTTTCTTTTACAGCCTTTACCCCACTCATCCGAAACAGAGTAAATACTGTTCATTTTTTTTTGCAATTCCAATTGTAAGAGGATACAAAATAGTTCAGACATTTTGGAAAAATCCTCTGTGCTTATTCCTGTGTCCACCGACCATAAAATTCTAAGATTACCCATTTGGGCCAACATCTCTGTAGAGACGGATAAGAAGACAAGAACAAAGGATTAGCAGACAAGAAAGGTCCAGGGTTAATGGACACAAATGTTCCTGACCCTGACCATCAGGATTCTGACACGTGTCTAGTACACCAAGATGTACCAGGCACTAGTCATATACACATCCAGGAATGATTTTCCAGTCAATGAGGTGCCACCCTACCAACGAGCAATGATTCACCTGAGAAGCTTCAAGCTGCAGGCAATAGTTGCTGTCATCTCCTTTTTTAAGCTGTCTGGAGTGAGTGCTCCTAAATCAAATGGCATTTCTACTTCAATATGGACAACCTTCCTCCAGATTCACTGAAGGATTATGCTGAAGTTTATTCCACCTAGGTGCATTTGGATATTTACCCATGGAGCAAATTAATTACAGAACCCACTTATACATGGCTTTAAAACTATATTTTAAAGCTAAAAAAGCAATAATAATGAAACAAGAAATGTTATTTCCCCTGCCACATCACACCACCCCCACTACACTACTTTAAGTCATTAAAATTTTGATTGCCAGTTAAAAAACATATTTTATTTGTCCCTGCTTTGTTCCCCTCCTGTTTCCTTTCTGGAAAACATAAAAACATAGAAAAATGCCTTTTTTGTACCTGCAGTTCTGAGAAGGATGGTTTCTTTCCCTCCCACTGGGACAACAGCCAAAAGTCCCAGCAGTGGTTGTCATGGTACATTTGTCAGATGCCAAGTTACCATTTAGAATAAAACACTGCTGATCCTATGAGAGCTTGAGACAACTTTTGTGTCATTCAAATGGAGGCGG